CTGCCAAGAGAACAAACAGGTCTGTCATCTGTTCTGGAGAGGGTGAAACCAGGATGCTCCTTTGGAAGCAAGGAATCTGAAACTCCATCTCATACACTTTGGGCATCCTGCCAGGAGAGAACAGTCCTTGGAGAAGGACCTCATGCTTGGAAGGTTCAGTGCAGGAGAGAAGGCCCTGGATGGATGAGATGACAGTGACTGTGGCAATGGGGTCAGGTGTGTCAGAGGTGGTGTGGCTGGCTCAGGGCTGGGCTGGGTTCAGGGCTGTTGTCCATTGGGTCGCTGTGAGTTGTAGTCAACTCGACAGTATGTAGCAACAGCAAAACTTTAAAGGTGACTTCAGGGATAGTTTTGCTTCAGGGTTTAAGTCTTCTAGCCTAAATGCCTAGTGAAGTTGGACTCTTTTTTTTTTGTCTGTAATGGGAGAGAACTCTTTACTTAAAGGTTTGAGTATAGAAGGGGCTCAAGCAACAGCTGCCTCCTTGGCTGCCCTCCTCTCCTCCAACATCCTCTGCTTTTAAAAAAAAATTTGGTTTCCATATAGTCATTCATATACATTGTATTTTGTATGTGTACCTTGTGTGTGTGTGTGTTTTTTTTTTTAATTATGTGTGTATGTGTACCGTCAAATCAGATCTGACTGGTACAGGAGGAGATTGTCCCTCCTTCTCCAGCAGAGCATCTGGGGGATTTGAACCGTGCACCTCGGGGATTACAGTGCAGCTTCTTGCCACTAGGCCACCAGAGCTCGCCGTACCTTGTGTTTGATACAGTCATTCATAAACATTATATTTTATACAATTACCATTTCCCCATCCCCATCTTTCCAGGCCCCCATTGTCCCTTTCCCATTACTTCACCCCGCCAACCACTAACCTCTTCTGTTTCCATGATTTTTCTCCCTCCCCCTTTTTCTGCCTCCTCCTCTCCTTTCTCTTCTGAACATTTATGCATGTCATGCTCAGTTATGCTGAGTATATTTTCACAATAGTGGCTATATACATGCAGAGAGAGTGAAAGAGAGAGCGCGAGCACATGGCCTTATGTGACTGAGGTATTTCGCTGAGTCAGTATAAGGCTCAGGGCTAGTGTGTTGTGCGTCGGTTTTATGCTGGAAGTTGTTGTGGCCTCTCGCATCTCAAAGAGAGGCAGGTATGGAACGCTCGGGGCTCCTATGTCTTTCTTTTCATCCCAAGTGGGTGTCAGTAGATGGGACTTGCCAGATGAACTGGGGGTCTCTGGCTAAAAGTCCACCAGTATGTGGGTGTGCCAGAATTTTTAAATCTTGTAGGGCCCTCGGGCCTGCTTTTAATTGTTTTTGGTCAGACATTCTTCTAAGTGGTAAAGCACTGGTTTGTTCCTTTGCTGTATGCATGGTTGCTGTGAAGCTGAACACTGTGACACTGATGTGTCAAATGTGAGAATGGTCACCCATGGTGGACAGTGTTTGGTGGAGCTCCCTGATTAAAACAAGCTTGGAAGCAGGAGTGGCATCCACTTCCGAAATAGCTT